AGCCGTCTTGCATTTATTCCGACAATGGAACGACGTTCGTGGGTGCTCATGGTCAGCTCAAAGTGTTCTTTAATATTTTACGCGACGACCAAACGCAAACACAAATAGCTAATTCCTTGCGAAAACACGAAACTGCATGGAAATTCATTCCTCCTAACGCGCCTCACTTTGGCGGTTTGTGGGAGGCTGCAGTCAAAGCCGCTAAGCGTCATCTTATCCGAATAGTCGGGAAGACATCCTTGTCTTTCGAAGAATTACAAACAATTTTTTGCGAAGTAGAGGCCATTCTAAATTCACGCCCTCTCACTCCGTTAACCGAAGATCCTAACGATCTTAGTTATTTGACCCCAGGACATTTCTTAATTGGCACCGCGCTGAATAGTTTCCCTCATCCGGATTTAACTAATGTAAATGAGAATAGGCTAATACGTTGGCAGCGTGTCGAACAAGTCAGACAACATTTTTGGCGCAGGTGGAGCCAAGAATATCTGCATACCCTCCAGGAGCGATCCAAGTGGAGGACAAACAAGGGTGATCAGCTGACACCCAACCAAATGGTGCTCCTGAAACAGCCGAATCTAGCACCTCTCCAGTGGTTGTTGGGTCGCGTTGAAGAAGTTCATCCAGGAACTGATGGCAACGTGCGGACCGCTACCGTCCGTACCACAAAGGGTCTTTTCACTAGACCATTAACCAAGCTTGCTATCTTACCAATAGAAACCTAGCGTTTCATTTCGTGTGTTAAAAATAAGTTAATTTTACGATTATATTTTTCTCTCATTCCGCCATATCAATTTGTTCGCGTCGAATCGTCTCTTTGTTCACGCGAAATCATATTAGTTACCGTCAATATGTTTTGCATATAAGCAGTCAAATGTATGTGATTTAGTCATAAGACTTAGCATAAGTATTATCGCCGTCTACAACCGTCATGTAGCCGTCGTGTTCTATTTCTGTTTTCGTTTTGAAAGAAAATCCTTTCAACGGGGGCGGCCTTTGTTCGATATTTCGTAAGTTGGCGCGTGTCACATTTAACGCTCGCGTTATCTTTAGACCAATAGCGTGACTGGACACTGCTCTGGCACTTTCTTATCGTTCGCGACGCGCTTGCGACTCTTCGGTTATCTTCGCCCGCGGTTCGTTCCCTCTCTCCGTGCGAGTCCTGCGCGATCCGTTCGTTACCGTTTCGATTGCGATCCTTCTGGATCCTTTTTATTATTACCATTGTAACCGTCGATGGCGATCATTTAATTGTTACCGTTACGCTCTCTAAAGAGCTATCGATCCCTGTATCACCGTGCGTGCTCGTGCAGTTGATAAAGTCAAGTATTTACTTTCTAAGTGCCTTTGCATCATTTTGGGAGATCCTTCCGCGGCTCCACCGATAGTCAGTTGCCGCAAATCCGTTGTTGGCAACAGCCTCCTCAACTGCAGAGGAATACATATTGTTCGACCACGCTTCCCGAGAGGATTCATACCGGGAAAACGCGTGGGGCCAGCCTTCGCAGCGTTACAACGCGAGGCACGGCCATCTCACACGAAACAGGATCAAAACACCCAAAAACACGATTTTTGCGGTTTTGACCCCCACATTTCTCAAAATCGTGACGTGATAGGCACTTTTGGACCCCAGAATCATGTTCAGAGCACAAAAATACGTCAAAAACCGGTCTCACATAAAAAAAAAAAAAAGTGAATTTTGTAGACCTGTGTTATTTCACTTTTTTGAAATTTTGTTTATTAGCAGAATTGTAATACATTCGGATGATAGTTGCAAAAAAACATTTAAAATGCTAATCGACACCAATTCTAACGTCATATCTAGTTATTAAAAACATGATTTCTTCTTACATTTTGTAAAGGAACAGATTTTATTTACATATAAAAATAATGATATTCCATCGATTTGGCGTATATCATGTCGAATCATTTTCTGAACAATTGTTAGTTTACTTTCAGAAATATACGTATAATTTTAATAAATATATAAAAATATTTCGTCTACTATGTTCATTTATATTTTTATTTATTAAAAGAAAGTTCTGAAAAGAGAAAAAAATAGGATTTAATTGTAGAATCTCTGACGTTCTGATCTCACACCTTACGGGCAAGACCACACTAAGTTCTTACAAACTTGAATGTGACTTTCTTCCTTTATTGATGCTAAGCGGCCGAGATTACCAGAGAAAGCATTTTTGGTTGTCAGAAAATAAGCGACAAGGCGAGAAGGACAAAGGCTTCGGCGCTGAGCGAGAACGAGCCAGACAGCGATAGAGAATCTATCGTCGCTCTGTGATCGTCTGTTTTTAATTAATTGAAAACTGCAAATTCGTTGTCGACAGTATTTCGGCTTAAGCCCGATCTACAATTGCGTAAACGTAGTTGTAGTTGTAAGAATTGACTAATCACAGTTGTATACGAGGAGAATATTCGACTGTCATTGGTCAATTCTTACAACTATAACCACTTATAACTACGTTTACGCAGTTGTAAATCGGGCTTTAGACCTGTTACACAATACGCTACTGTAGCGACTGAAAACGATTGGATTCGATTCCTCATATTATTCTGCGAAAAAGAATCTATAAGTGATTATTAAAAAATTACAATTTTTTGTTTAAAAAATCTAAACTTTGAACGAAAATTTTGAAAAAATTTTGTACGCTAAATTGGGTCAAAGTGAACATTTTTGGTCTCTTAGACTTTTTTCATAAAATCAATAGTTTTTGAGATAGAAAATGTCAGAGCTTCAAAAATGACTAGATTTACGATTTTTGTTCTCACGAACTAATTGTCCAATCAGTACGAATAAAAAACGAAAATTTTCGGCCGATCTTAAACTTTAATGTGCATTTTTTTTATTTTGATCCGTACTGTTATTGACAGTGAAAACTTTATTAGAATAAAGCTCTGAATGCTCGTCCGCGGCGGGTGAGCGGTCTCGACGCTGCGTTGCCACGTCGCGCGTCGACGCACCGAGCATGTTGCCACATGTTACATGCTGTGATGGCTGGTGCACACACCTTCCGTAACAGTAACCATAAGACGTACTGTAAGAATTAGCCAATCACAGACGAAAATACTTTTGAACTCTTAATTCTGATTGGCTGATTCTTACGGTATGTATTACTGTTACGGTAGGTGTGTGCGACAATCCTGACTCGGCGTCGTGTCGAAATTCGAGACAGCTCACGCTCCGCGGACGCGCATTCAGAGTGTCATTCTAATAAAGTTTTCACAATACGGATTAAAATAAAAAATAATTCTTATTGTAGTTTAAGATTGGCAGAATATTTTTATTTTTTATTCATGCTGATTGGATAATTAGTTCGTGAGAACAAAAATCGTAAATCTAGTCATTTTTCAAGCTCTGACATTTTCTATCTCGAAAACTATTGATTTTATCAAAAAAGGGCTAAGTTTACATTTTTTAAACAAAAAATTGTTTGTAACTTTTTAATAATCACTTAAACAAATGAAGAGTATATAGATGCTTTTTCGCAGAATAATATGAGGAATCGAATCCAATCGTTTTCAGTCGCTAGAATGTCTATCGTGGTCTCGAGCGTATGGTGAGAGATCAGTATGCTGGAGATCCCTGTTCAAATCCTGCCGTTTTTTATCCTTTTTGCTAAAAGAAAGCTGTTTCTGAAATATGTAAAGTTATTCATAAACAAATTAAGCCAAATATATGTATAATTATTATATTAAAAGTTATACGTGTATGGTTTCAAAAGTTTTAAACAATTATATAGGAAAAATATATATTCCGAATTACTTTATTCAATAACAAATAAGAAATTATTTTAGAATTGCACAAAATATAAATGCTTAAAAAAATAATTTTTTAATTTTTAATTTTAATTTTTTTTTTATTTTTAATAATTTTTAATAATTTTTTAAACGTCAAAAAAGTAATTTTAGAAAAAATTAACCTTGAATATAAATATAACAAAATTACTTATATATCATTGTATACATATAAAATTGTAAATAATTATGTATAAGCAATTTTTAATAAATTTTTCTCCAAACTTTCCTTGGTTTTTGTTTAAACAAATAATGTTTTCTCATTTTGATTATTATTACTAATTTTATCATATTAAAAATTAAAAAATATTGAATAAAAAAGATATTTAAACGTACGTTTATATAAATTCACAATGTCTTATAACAATTTCAAAAAAATTTGCAAATATAAAGACTTGAATTTAAAAAAAAATTATAAAATGTGTGTGTGTGTAAAATATATATATATTATACTTCTTTTTGGAATAGGAACAATGTATTTTCTCTCTGTCAGAGAATATTTCGATACGTGTGTTTAGATTATTGAAGTTTCACTCGACAATCTGGATATATCTTTATATTCGCGTATCATATCATCACAGTAGTATTGGCATACTGAACAGTAAACGGCCTCTCTTGTGCGCCGATATGATCTACTGCGCGGACCGTTACGCGTAATGCTGCGCGCGTAATAAAACAACGGCGCGAGTCTAGCCTTATTGTCACCCGCGTTTTGACATCGTTCCTACGCGATAGTATTATTATCAGTGTTAGTTTAATTGTTAAAAGTGAAGTGTAACTGAAGTGTAGTGTATTAGTGTATAGTGTGTTTTTGGTATCCTCAAGATGAGAAAGAATTCCAATAAAAAAGTACTTCTCTTTGCTAAGAGAAAGTCAAAGAAAGGAGGATGGTTAAAAAGGTTAGTATATCTATATATTTATATAAAAAGAATAGTCATAAAAGTGGTGTCACATGCTCGTTACCATTTAAAAAACTCGATATATTTTTATTTGTTTTTATATATTTCATGTTATAATTAATTGGATAGGATTATAATAGCAAATTATAAATAATCGACATAATGATACTTTTCTATTCATACATTCTATATTTTATTTGTAAAAGTTATAATCAAAAAATTAAATATAAAAATCGACTCTCGAAAATTTCAAATACAAAGAATAAATAGGCTAATGAGAGTAAACTCGCTGTTATCAATGCGAAATCACAAAAAACAATATATATTCGTTAACAATCAAAAAATGTCATATATAAAATACTATACGTTTCGGCCTAACATCCGGGCCATCTTCAGTAGTAAATTCACAAAAAAGACATGGATCTGTAGAAAAGTGGTCACTCTCAACGTCAAACAATCAAATCCACATGGTTGGTAGGTCATGTGCAAACGACAAGACGTTAATCTAAGTAAAAATTAAAAATTAATGACAATGATTGAAGAAAGATGAAAATGAACACTCACCGACAAATCCATGATTAACAAGATAAAGTTGTATTAAAGAAATAAAAGACCACCATCAGACAAACAACAAATTAATATAAAACAAGTCAAAAGATAAAAATCCGAAGATAACATTTTGGTGGTCACGATTTAAATGTAATAATAGTAAACAGAACAACTCTAAGAGGAGCAACGATGTATCGATTTATCTCGCAGTAACCTCGATGAACATAAATATCCAATAAAGTCGTACATACAGTTATAAGCGCATGCGTGTAACCAACGATACAGGAATCGATATAATTCTTCCAATCAGATAACAGAGATCACACAGATATATCGAAGTCATAATATATCACACATTCAAAAAGAAATTCACCGAAATTCATTAAGTAAGGAAACATAAGAATGGTGCAAAAATTCAGTGTCTGACTGTAAATTCAAGCTGTGATTTTGTAAATTTATATGTAACA